AGTGGAGGCGACGCCCCGGCGCTCGCTCCCACGCTCGTTGCCTGAGCCGCAGCCGCCGCCGCCCCGCTCGAGGCTCCGGGCTGCTGTCCCGGGGCCACGGCGCCGCCGCCACTGGGGGGCGGCGGGGCGTCGCGGGGCGTGTGATCCGGTAGCTGAGTCTGGTCGCTGTCCGACTCTGACCCCTGGCCCCTGCGATGTGCTGCCAGAAACTCGTCCGTCATCCTCTTCGCTCCTGGCTCCTTCTTCTTTCCGGCCTCCACCGTGGAGCCGATCGTCGCCAGCAGCAGCGCCGCGTAGATCGCCGTCCGCTGCATCATCGCTGCCTGAGTGCAGCGCCCGAGGTTGATCGAGAAAGCTCGCGAGGCTGAAGCTGATGCTTGAGCCCAAAGGGTCTACGGAGGAGGGATCGGGGCGGGGCTCGAGAGCCCCGGAGACCTTCTTGATGGCCCTGCCCCCCTCGACCTCAGCTTTCCCGATCGATCCTACCGCTGATTCCGGCCCGGGGCGGGCCCGCTGAGCTCGTGGCTGGAGGGCCGCCCTAACCAAGGCAGCGGTCCCGATAAGCAACTGGTGCAGCCCCAGACTCCCAATCACGATCAGCAATCTATTCAGGTCCTTGACGTACCCCCAGGACCCCCTTGATCTGGTCCCCGCAGTCCCCTCTGCGCCGACATGCCCCCCCCCCAACGCGTCTCCTGGGCCTGAAGATGAGGATGATGATGATGATGATGTACTGCATCAGTGTGCCCTCGCTGGACATCTTCGGTACTGGGCGCCCCGCCAGTGCAAAGGCGCCAGGGGAAAGAAAAGGATACTTCTGGAAGGCCGAGTCGGGAACCTCACACGGCCCGGGCAGGGGCCGGACGATGTCCACCATCCTGTGGCCAGAGCCGAGCCGCGTGAGCGTGACCTCGGGCTCTGGGGTGTTCAGCGCCATCTTATTTTGCGGGAGGTCGATCACACTGCCGAGAAACTCCAGCAGGTTCACACTCAGGATGTGGGGAACCGCATCCTCCAGGACTGTCGCCTCGACGATGCCAAACGCCCCGCCGAGGCACATCGGGAAGAGGATGGACGCGATCACCTTCGCTGCCTCCCCTACCCCGTGGGCCGCCCTCGGCCTCCTGTGCTGAAGCGGGATCAGCACGTAGCACATGTCCTGGTCCGCAAGGGCCTGTGCCTCACGGTTGAGGGCCTCCACGCCCACGAGGTCGCTCCCCGCTCCGGGGTCGACCCGGCCCTGCGTCGCCCTCGCCGCCAGGTAGACGCCCTCCGTGGTGAGCTCGGCCTCTGCCTCGCGCCAGCTCGGGAAGCTGGCCGCCGCCGGGCCTGAGACATAGCCGTCGAACATGTAGGCCGACAGCTCTCGTCTGGCGACTGTGTTCCTCTCCTTCTGCTTGTCCGTGCCATTGCCCCTGCTGGGACACTCGCGCCCCCAGTGGCCTTTCTGGTGGCAGAGCTTGCACTTCGTCGCCTTCATGAGCTGCTCCAGTGAGAGTCTCGACCGGCCGCCTCCTCGTCCTCGTCCGCGACCTCGTCCTCCGCCGCGGCCGCCACCGCGACCGCCTGGCCGAGGGACCCGCGAGGGGGGCTGGGCTCCGTCACCTCCAGGCTTGCCCCGGAAAAACTCCCGAGTCTGTCGAGCAGCTCGACAGACTCCCGAGTCTGTCGAGCAGCTCGCTTCATGTCTTTGTTCTGCTTCCACGATCGATCGTTGGCCATCGCCGCCAAGGTGTCGTCCAGCTCGTCTTCGTACAGATCCATGTCCTCGATCTCGGCCAGCTGCGTCGACGCCGAAATCTCCCTCGACCTCGAAGTAGTCGTAGCCGTCGTCCTCGTCCTCTGACTCCAGGTTGGCTTCGCCACCACCGTCGACCGGACCGGAGGGGTGGAGGAAGGAAGAGGAGGAAGACTGCTCTACCCTAGGGCCTAGCTCGGGATACGCGTCAGGACCCGCGCCCTCTACCATAGCGCTGGCCCCTGCTCGACCCGGTAGCAGCCTCTCAGAGCCAGACGAGTCCATCTGGCGAAGGGCCCACGCGATGTCTGCGTAGTCCATCTTGCCCTGCGTCAATGTCCGTAAATTATGTGTGCCCTGGGCGGAAAGCCCGGCACCCTCTTCGAGGAAGAGGCCCTTCAGCTTCGGGGACATCCACAAGTCATGTCCCTCTGCTTCTTGAAGCTGCGCCTCGCGCCTGGATGCGTACTGCGTCAAAGACTCTTTGCTCTCGCGAGCTGCCTCGAACAAGGCATTGCGGCCGGCTCGGCTGAGCTCGCCCCTTCGCGCTCTCCGATCAGCAGGTCCATCCTGGCCAACAAAATGTCAAGCCACGAGGAGGAAGCCAGGTCTCGATCGGAGATGTTCTCGAACTTCGATTGCATCGTCCAGTCAAACAACTTCAGAAATCGTTCTGCTCGGCGCCACAGCGCCACATCCGTATTGTCGTTCCACCGTCGCAGAGCACGCTTCCACTGGCGGTAGTGCGTCCAGCCGGGCCACGCCGGTGGGTCGGTGCAGTCGCCCCTCGCGCTGGGCTGGCTCCAGCCGCTATGCCACCAACTGCTGCTCCAGTCCTGGCCAGAGCCCCAGCCGCCAGCCCACTCGGAGCTGCCGGCTGCCCAGCCGCTCTTGCCCCAGTCGCCGTCCTTGTGGCCGCTGGTCTCGCCCGTCGCCGCCGCCTCGGCGGCCGCCGTCCCCGAGCTCCCTCGCACCTGGTCGTTCCCGCTCCACGGGTCGCCCTGCGCAGAGTGCCAGGGATCCTCGCCAGCTCCGTCTGCGGCCGCCGTCGCTCTTCGAGCGCGGTCGGTCCAGCCGCTCCAGCTGTCCGCGCTCTGCCCTGTAGTCGTGCCGGCCCGCGCCGCTGACATAGTCTGATCCACTATGTCCTGGGCGAGGGCCTTCCACTGCTCCTGCGTCATAGTGATGGGAGTGGCACCTGGCGCCGCGCCACTGGCGCTCCCCCCGCCTGATGCCTCCATCACCTTCGTCTTCTCCTGCTCGTCCCCTGTTGTCCTGTCTTGGGACGACATGCCGTGGATCCCCTCACGCGCCCAGCGTTCAGAGCGCAGCCGGGGCGAGAGCTCGCAAGCGACGGGACAGCTCACCGGCAAGGCTGCTGCCCGGCACCCATGGCCTCTCGCCCGGACCGCGCTCCGCTACCAACTGTGGCAGCAGGAGGATTGGGCAACGTTTTCCCTTGAGCCACAACATTAGGCAAATCACAGATATACACATATCTCGCTACACAACTGCTGAACCTAGTCTGACACATGTGCTATCCCATCACACGTCGTGCATAGCGGCCGCGCTCAGGGACCACCCCCTGCGCACCCCCTGTGGTGTCGAGAAAATGCCGCGCCTGCTGCGCCTGGGCGACCGTCGTGCATAGCGGCCGCGCCGCAGGGGCCCTGAGGGCCGGAGGCGCTGACGTTGGCGCTCGCTGGCTCTCCTGGAGGCGCGCCGAAGCCGGGGAGGAGGCGCCGACGAAGGTCAGGGCCATCTCGTGGTACCTCGCCTGGCAGAGCAGTGCCGAGCCAGAAAAACTGCGTGCAATGGGAAGCCGAACCTGCGTGTATTGGAAACAGGTTCAACCGTTCATCCTCGTTGATGCGCCCTGGGTTCACCCGTTCACCCTGTCCCCCATGGAGAGAAGATCAAGGACGGGATGATCCATCGCAGCCTCGATGATGCGCCCTGGGTTCACCCGTTCACCCCGCCCCTCCCGGAACGAAAGACATGCGTAGGCACAAGTTGTCAGGGGGCGCCGCGCGGATCTCCTGAGGTCAAGCAGGGGCCGCCATGCGGTGACCATGGTAGACCAGGGCATTCGAAAGGGGCCCAGGGACACACAAACAAGTAAGCACAAATCTCTGGATTCCCCGATTGTTTATTTTGATACAGATGTTCTGGATTCTCGTTGCCCACTCCACCTCCCACATGTTCGCGCATCTGCCTGCGACTCGACGATTCGGTGTGCTTGTTCGTGTTCTGTTGTTCCCCTCCTGAGCACTGGCGCCAGGTCGGGCGCGTCCTCCTACGGGCAGAATTTGAACGAAACCTTAAAAATAGCCAAACAGTATTCAACACATTATCGAGCATACTTACAAAATCGCACCCGTTAAAAAAATGAAAAACGTAGTTTTGAATATTCCTCTTGGAGAGGGACAGGGCCCGACTCAACGCCGGCGCGCCCCGCCGTGGCCCCCCCCCGGCAGAGCCCCAGCGGGCGCTGCTCTGGTCTTGGGGCCCTGCGTCGACCGCCCCCCCTCCTGGCGCCTCGCTCCCAGCAGCATGCGCCTCAACCCATGCCTCCTCCTTCTCCTCCTCCTCCTGCTCTTCCTCCTCCTCCGCCTCTTCCTCCTGGGCTCCTCCTACAGTTTGCGCCTCCTCCTCCTCCTCCTCCGCCGCCTCAACCCCCTACATCACCCCCTACAGTCTACGCCTCCCCCCTCCTCCTCCTCCTCCCCCCCCTCCTCCTCTCCTCCCCCTCCTCCTTCTCCTCAGCTCTTTCTACAGTTTACGCCTCCTCCTCCTCCGCCTCGCCCCCTTCTGTTTGCGCCCCCCCCCCCTCCTCCCCCTCCTCGAGGGCGCCCTGTGGAGGGGCAGGCCCGACGTAAAAGTCTATGTCGTTTATCTTCTTCGGTCCACAAGCAGCGCGAACCGCCCCTTGCACAACGCGCGGAAGCGACTCTCCCCCCGAACGTCCAGGCCCTCCGCGCCGCCGCCGCTCCCCGTCCGCCGCCGCCGACGACCTCGAGGCTCGACCCTCGAGGCTCACAGCCCGACGCTCGAGCCTCGAGGCCAGAAGAGGTGCTCTTAGCCCCCCGCGGGGCCGCTGGAACCTTTGAAGGGGCCAAGGGACACGCAGAGAAATAGACACCAATCCGAGGATGTTCCACATTCTCAAAAATTGTTCTGGGTTTTCGCCCCCCCCCCCCCACCCCTTCCTGTCTTTCCCCCAGTGTTCCTGGGAGGCGTCGTGCTGCTTCCCCTCCTGGAGCTCCTTTGTCGCCGCGGCTGGGCTCGCCTCCACAATTTTGACCGGGCCGCGCCCGCGGACAGGCTCAGGGATGAGCGCTTCCTAGTGCTATGTCGGGCGTGTCCCCCTCCAGGGGGATTTTCGATGAAAAATAAAAAATACTCAAAAACATATTCAAAACATGTCAAGAAATATTCAAAAAATAGTCCCCATACCATTTTTGGATTATTTTTGATTTATTTTTGAAAATTTTTATTTTTCGTCGAACATCCCCCTGTAGGGGGACAGGCCCGACTTAATCCTAGTGGTCCGGTCCTGGCCGCACAGCTGTCGGCGCCGAAAACGAGGTGCCCCTGTAGCGACTCCTCCGGAAAGCGATGGCATTGAGAAGCAATAAAAAAGAAAGAAAACTCGCCACTGAGACGAACATGCCCGGGACGATTCTGCCGGGGGAAAGAAGCGGGCGACGCAAGACTGGCCTTGGTTGTGGAGGCCCACCTGCACCCAACCAAAAGCCTGGCTGAACTCAGATCAGGAGCTGGTTCATGCCCACCTTGCCGGTCAACAGCTCCGCGGACAGGATGCCGACGGCCGCGAACATCGCGAAGCGGCCGTTGTTGAGCTCCTTGTTGCGCATGTCCTCGTCGTAGCCAAAGATGTTGGACAGGCCCAGGGGGTCGCCGAAGTTGCCCGCCTCCTTCTTCGGGCCCTGCGTCCACGCCGCGAGCTCCATGGCGCCGGCAAACAGAAACAGCGCCGCGAAGCCGTGCGTGCCCGGCGCCGTCGTCACCGCGCCCACGCCCTCAGGCACCGACTCGAAGCCGGGGAACTTGACGCACTGCTGCGCCACGAACCCCAAGGCCGCCATCATGGCCACGCGCCCGTGCTTGAGCTCCGCGGTGCGCAGGCTGCGGAAGCCCTCCTCTGGGGAAACCAAAGAGGCGCCGATGCCGCGCTCTGCGGATCCACCCCACTGTGCGCTCTGACCAAGTATTTGAAAATCCAGCCGTGGTGTCGAGGGCTCTCTAGAATTTGGGCGCCCGAAATGGGCACGGACAAAAATGGGTGCAACGCCGAACAACAAATGTCGTCCAAAACCGACAGCGGCCGCTGTTGGGCAAGGGGCCTTCTGTTTCGAATGGGCACGGGCCGCGGCGACACCGACAGCGAGTCCTGGTCAAAATGAACAGGAACTGCTGATGGGCATTGCACCCATCCTCTCCGAGCCCATTTCGTTCGTGCCGATAGGGCGAGCAGCGGCAGCGGTGGCTTCTCCTCCTCCGACCCTCGTCGCCCACCTTGCTGAACCCGGCCGGGTCGAAGAAACCCCACGGGGGCCATGGCGCCCAGCTGCGTCGACGGGTCGAAGGCGGCGCGCCGCGCCACGCGCGCCGGCCGGCGCGAGGCAATCGCGAGCGCGGTCACCGCGCCCACCGGCAGGGCGGCGCCCAGGCTGCCGCCGCCGGCGCCGTGGTGCGCCGCAGGGGCCCTGAGGGCCGGAGGCGCTGACGCTGGCGCTCGCTGGCTCTCCTGGAGGCGCGCCGAAGCCGGGGGGGAGGCGCCGACGAAGGTCAGGGCCATCTCGTGGTACCTCGCCTGGCAGAGCAGTGCCGAGCCTGGAAGATCGCCTCGAACGCACTCGAGCCAAAACGGCTTGAGCCAGGACGGCCACGGCAGGTCCAGCGGACTGATCGGGAGCGGCCAAGAGGGGGGCGTCCAGCGGACGGCCTCTCGAGTCCAGATCTCCGGTGAGCAGAACATGCCCAATCACTGCGTTTTGGGGGCCCCGTCGTCGCCACGTCGAGCTTGCCTCTCGGATTCGCCAAGTCCCTCCTCCTCCTCCTCCTCCTCGCCCCCCTCCCCCTTCTGCCCCAGATGTGGGGCGGTCCCTTTTCACAGCGGGCCGCCCGTCACTTCGAGGGGGCGATCGCTCCATGCACTCGCGAGGAGAGGGCCTGGGGCGGGATGACAGCCTCGTTGATGCGCCCTGGGTTCACCCTCCGAGATGGATGTTGTCTCAAACGCGATGCCTGCAATGAAGTGCGCGTATGGGAAATCGAACCTGCTTCCAAAAAAACTGCGTGCAATGGGAAGTCGAACCTGCGTGTATTGGAAACAGGTTCAACCGTTCATCCTCGTTGATGCGCCCTGGGTTCACCCGTTCACCCTGTCCCCCAGGGAGAGAAGATCAAGGACGGGATGATCCATCGCAGCCTCGATGATGCGCCCTGGGTTCACCCGCTCACCCCGCCCCTCCCGGAACGAAAGACATGCGTAGGCGCAAGTTGTCAGGGGGCGCCGCGCGGATCTCCTGAGGTCCAGCAGGGGCCGCCATGCGGTGACCATGGTAGACCAGGGCATTCGAAAAGGGGCCCAGGGACACACAAACAAGTAAGCACAAATCTCTGGATTCCCCGATTGTTTATTTTGATACAGATGTTCTGGATTCTCGTTGCCCACTCCACCTCCCACATGTTCGCGCATCTTCCTGCGACTCGACGATTCGGTGTGCTTGTTCGTGTTCTGTTGTTCCCCTCCTGAGCACTGGCGCTAGGTCGGGCGCGTCCTCCCACGGGCAGAATTTGAACGAAACCTCAAAAATAGCCAAACAGTATTCAACACATTATCGAGCATACTAAAAAAAACGCCCCCGTTAAAAAAATGAAAAACGTAGTTTTGAATATTCCTCTTGGAGAGGGACAGGGCCCGACTCAACGCCGGCGCGCCCCGCCGTGGCCCCACCCCGGCAGAGCCCCAGCGGGCGCTGCTCTGGTCTTGGGGCCCTGCGTCGACCGCCCCCCCTCCTGGCGCCTCACTCCCAGCAGCATGCGCCTCAACCCATGCCTCCTCCTTCTCCTCCTCCCCCTGCTCTTCCTCCTCCTCCGCCTCTTCCTCCTGGGCCCCCCCTACAGTTTACGCCTCCTCCTCCTCCTCCTCCGCCGCCTCAGCCCCCTACATCGCCCCCTGCAGTCTACGCCTCCCCCCTCCTCCTCCTCCTCCTCCTCCTCCTCCTCCTCCTCCTTCTCCTCAGCTTCTTCTACAGTTTACGCCTCCTCCTCCTCCGCCTCACCCCCTTCTGTTTGCGCCTCCTCCTCCTCCTCCTCGAGGGCCTCCTGTGGAGGGACAGGCCCGACGTAAGCCATAAGCTTAAGTCTATGTCGTTTATCTTCTTCGGTCCACAAGCAGCGCGAACCGCCCCTTGCACAACGCGCGGGAGCGACTCCCCCCCCGAACGCCCAGGCCCTCCGCGCCGCCGCCGCTCCCCGTCCGCCGCCGCCGACGACCTCGAGGCTCGACCCTCGAGGCTCGCAGCCCGATGCTCGAGCCTCGAGGCCAGAAAGGGTGCTCTCAGCCCCCCGCGGGGCCGCTGGAACCTTTCAAGGGGCCCGGGGACACACGGGGAAATAGACACCAATCCGAGGATGTTCCATATTCTCAAAAGGTTTTCTGGGTTTTTGCCCCCCCCCCCCCCCACCCCTTCCTGTCTTTTCCCCCGTGTTCCTGGGAGGCGTCGTGCTGCTTCCCCTCCTGGAGCTCCTTCGTCGCCGCGGCTGGGCTCGCCTCCACAATTTTGACCGGGCCGCGCCCGCGGACAGGCTCAGGGGCGAGCGCTTCCTAGTGCTATGTCGGGCGCGTCCTCCTCCAGGGGGATTTTCGATGAAAAAATAAAAAATAGTCAAAAACATATTCAAAAAATGCCAAGAAATATTCAAAAAAATAGTTCCCAGACCTTTCTTGGATTATTTTTGGCTTATTTTTGAAAATTTTCACTTTTCGTCGAACGCCCCCCTGTAGGGGGACAGGCCCGACTTAATCCTAGTGGTCCACAGTCCTGGCCGCGCAGCTGTCGGCGCCGAAAACGAGGTGCCCCTGTAGCGACACCTCCGGAAAGTCATGGCATTGAGAAGCAATGAAAAAGGAAGAAAACTCGCCACTGTGACGAACATGCCCGGGACGATTCTGCCGGAGGAAAGAAACGGGCGATGCGAGACTGGCCTTGGTTGTGGAGGCCCACCTGCGCCCAACCAATAGCCTGGCTGAACTCAGATCAGAACTGGTTCATGCCCACCTTGCTGGTCAACAGCTCCGCGGACAGGATGCCGATGGCCGCGAACATCGCGAAGCGGCCGTTGTTGAGCCCCGTGTTGCGCATGTCCTCGTCGTAGCCAAAGAGGTTGGACAGGCCCAGGGGGTCGCCGAAGTTGCCCGCCTCCTTCTTCGGGTCCTGCGTCCACGCCGCGAGCTCCATGGCGCCGGCAAACAGAAACAGCGCCGCGAAGCCGTACGTGCCCGGCGCCGTCGCCACCGCGCCTACGCCCTCAGGCACCGACTCGAAGCCGGGGAACTTGACGTGCTGCTGCGCCGCGAACCCCAAGGCCGCCATCATGGCCGCGCGCCCGTGCTTGAGCTCCGCGGTGCGCAAGCTGCGGAAGCCCTCCTCTGGGGAAACCAAAGAGGCGCCGATGCCGCGCTCTGCGGATCCACCCCGCTGTGCGCTCTGACCAGGTATTCGAAAATCCAGCCGTGGTGTCGAGGGCTCTCTAGAATTTGGACGCCCGAAATGGGCACGGACAAAAATGGGTGCAACGCCGAACAACAAATGTCGTCCAAAACCGACAGCGGCCGCTGTTGGGCAGGGGGCCTTCTGTTTCGAATGGGCACAGGCCGCGGCGACACCGACAGCGAGTCCTGGTCAAAATGAACAGGAACTGCTGATGGGCATTGCACCCATCCTCTCCGTACCCATTTCGTTCGTGCCGATAGGGCGAGCAGCGGCAGCGGTGGCTTCTCCTCCTCCGATCCTCGTCGCCCACCTTGCTGAACCCGGCCGGGTCGAAGAACCCCACGGGGGCCATGGCGCCCAGCTGCGTCGACGGGTCGAAGGCGGCGCGCCGCGCCACGCGCGCCGGCCGGCGCGAGGCAATCGCGAGCGCGGCCACCGCGCCCACCGGCAGGGCGGCGCCCAGGCTGCCGCCGCCCGCGCCGCGGTGCGCCGCAGGGGCCCTGAGGGCCGGAGGCGCTGACGCTGGCGCTCGCTGGCTCTCCTGGAGGCGCGCCGAAGCCGGGGAGGAGGCGCCGACGAAGGTCAGGGCCATCTCGTGGCACCTCGCCTGGCAGAGCAGTGCCGAGCCTGGAAGATCGCCTCGAACGCACTTGAGCCAAAACGGCTTGATCCAGGACGGCCACGGCAGGTCCAGCGGACTGATCGGGAGCGGCCAAGAGGGGGGCGCCCAGCGGACGGCCTCTCGAGTCCAGATCTCCGGAGAGCAGAACATGCCCAATCACTACGTTTTGGGGGCCCCGTCGTCGCCGCGTCGCGCTTGCCTCTCGGATTCACCCTGTCCCTCCTCCTTCTCCCCCCCCCCCCCCTCCTCCCCCAGATGTGGGGCGGTCCCTTTTTCACAGCGGGCCGCCCGTCACTTCGAGGGGGCGATCGCTCCATGCACTCGTGAGGAGAGGACCTGGGACGGGATGACAGCCTCGTTGATGCGCCCTGGGTTCACCCTCTGAGATGGATGTCGTCTCAAACGCGATGCCTGCAATGAACTGCGCGTATGGGGAATCGAACCTGCTTCCAAAAAAAATGCGTGCAATGGGAAGTCGAACCTGCGCGTATTGGAAACAGGTTCAACCGTTCATCCTCGTTGATGCGCCCTGGGTTCACCCGTTCACCCTGTCCCCCATGGAGAGAAGATCAAGGGCGGGATGATCAATCGCGGCCTCGATGATGCGCCCTGGGTTCACCCGTTCACCCCGCCCCTCCCGGAACGAAAGACATGCGTAGGCACAAGTTGTCAGGGGGCGCCGCGCGGATCTCCTGAGGTCAAGCAGGGGCCACCATACGCGGTGACCATGGTAGACCAGGGCATTCGAAAAGGGGCCCAGGGACACACAAACAAGTAAGCACAAATCTCTGGATTCCCCGATTGTTTATTCTGATACAGATGTTCTGGATTCTCGTTGCCCACTCCACCTCCCGCATGTTCGCGCATCTTCCTGCGACTCGACGATTCGGTGTGCTTGTTCGTGTTCTGTTGTTCCCCTCCTGAGCACTGGCGCTAGGTCGGGCGCGTCCTCCTACGGGCAGAATTTGAACGAAACCTTAAAATGCATGAAGGGATCGCACCGAACCGAGAACCGAGAACCGTGACCGAACCCGACCGAACCGGTCCAAAACCAGGGACGTAGAAAACTCAACCGGACCGAACCGAATTCATTCAGAACCGAAACGACGAGGACCGAACCGAACCAGAACCGGAACCGAACCGGAAACGGGCGGCCCCTGAACCGAACCGACGGGAACCGAACCGAAACCCTATCCCCTCTGGTCCGGACCCCAGGACCCCGATGACCCCCAGGACTCCAGGACCCCGATAACCCCATAACCTCCCGAAGATTCCCACGACCCCTCCTCATCTTCCTCCTTCTCCTCCTCCTCCCCCTCCTCCTCCTCCCCCTCCCCCTCCTCCGCTTCCTCCTCTCCTCCTCCTCCCCCTCCTCCTCCTCCTCCCCCCCTCCTCCTCTCCTCCTCCTCCTCCTCCTTCTCCTCCTCCTCTCCTCCTCATCCTCCCTCCTCCTCCTCTCCCCCCCCTCCCTTTCTCCTCCCCTCCTCCTCCTCCTCCTCCTCCTCCCCTCCTCCTCCTCCCTCCTCCTCCTCC